ACACACCTCTGATGTGAAACACAAAAAGATGAAAGGAGTCAGGACAGGAAGCCAGATACTGATCAACAGAAAGACTCAGAGCCTCCTCCTCTGTGTCAGCAGCTATCTTCACATCATCTCTGTGATGACCTCCCTCCTGCTGAGCTGAGCTCACCCTGACTCTGACTCTGACCCTGAACTGTCAGCAGCTTCACCAACGACACATTTACACAGTTTAGCTTCATTTTATGACATCAGCCAATATTTCACACACAAAGAAGGAAAAATGTAGAAACAGAAAGAAAGTCATTATGTGAGTAGAACCTGATTAGGTCATTGTGTTTTGAGAAGACGCCGTCTTGCAGATGAGACCAACAGTGTGAAGCTTTGTGCAGAGAGCTGAGATTTCGAGCACATCAGTGAGTCGGCTGTGGGTGAGAAAAACAACCGTCTGCTGTTGCAAAATCTTCTCACAGTGACAGAGACAAGAAAATATGTTTACTGTCATTGTCAGGAAGAGGTTGAGCATGACAGCAGGTCGAGCTGCAGCTTTGGTTGCTTTACACCAGCGCCTGCAGGAAACGCGCTCTGATTGAAGCAGCTGTAAGGCGTCCAGTAGCTAGCACAGTGAACACATCTGGAACTTCTAATGTCTCCATCTCACAGCATCAGAAGTAGACAAAGCATTTTAAAGGCTTGGTTGAGTGTTTCAGTTCCATCATGTGGACTCACAACGGTTCTCTGGACAAGGAACATTCCTCAACAGTCTGCAGACTGCAGCCATGCCAACAGCTCTGTGAGAACGGACTCAGCACAGCAGGGTTTGAGCTAAATGCTGACTCCAACATGCTCAAAATGACATGCTGCTGTTATATATGTTCATCACAAGCACCATCCTGGTCTGCGTGTTACTGAGATGGTGAGCACGCTAACACAAGCTACAGCCCGGGTGAAGGGCATTAGTTTGATAAAAATCTAGTCATAAGTCAACATGTTTGACAAACTGTTTTTGTTGGACACGTCGCTGATGGTGCTTGATTTTTTTATTTCTATTCAACCTTTACTTTACCAGGTAGGTTCACTGAGAACTGGTTCTCATTTCATGAACAACCTGGTCAAGATGAACAGGAACACAGATTACAGATGAAAGGCTGGAGAGTCATTATGACAGTTGATCCTGAGGAGAACATCAGCGTCTGAACCAAACATCACCACAACTCAGCCAACAGCTGTTGAGAGACTTTGGTTCAAACAAATGCCAACTTGTACAGGACGAGTCAGAGAGTCACCAGGATGCTCCCACGGTCATGAATGATGGATGGATGGATGGACGTCATCTCTTCATTCAGACAGTTAAAAACATGTAGAACCTGTGGCCACAGAAAGGCTGTGATTAGCTTCATGGTCACCAGTGTTTCACCACCAATCAGAGCAGATACCGTGTGCTTCTGAACACTGGGCCAGGCTTTGTCGTTTGTACTTGCCTGTTTGTTTGTGTCATTTCTATGACCCAACCTGTGGTGGTTCTAACTTTGGTCCATATTATTTGGTTCCATATTAGCTCGTGTCAAGTCCAGCAGGTAGAACAAACGGTAAGCGTTCTGACCTACTTGACTATTTTCTGGCTGTACTGATGGACAGAGTCAGCAGCCGATGCCTTCAGAGACAACAAGTGATGTCAGAAATATTTTTAAAGACCGTGCTTGGTAACTCGATTGCACCTACACGGGCCCCGGTTACCATAGCAACGGACAGCTTGAGACAGGTGGCTGAAGCAGGAGGAGTACCTGGGAGTCTTAGCGTGTGCTGGTGAGAGCGATGACATGCGGTTACCATGGCTGTCTCAGAGTCACCTTTCTGACAACGCTAAGTTCCTTCCTTCCTTCTCCTCTAGTTTCTGCTGTGCAGGATTGCAGAGGAGGTGCAGCAAGCGTGCACACACACATAACGCCCTGTTGCCAAGGCAACCACGCCCTAGCGTGTTCAGTAAATGCATGTCTTTATTTAGTGTGTGTGTGTGTGCGTGTGCCTGAGAATGGCAGCATGTTGCTTCCTTCCTGTCGAGCTTCTGCATCATTACAGCCTGTCTGACTCTGTGTGGCCTCAGTTAATCCTCTCGTCCTCCTCCCGTCTCCTCGTCATCGCTCCTGCTGCCTTCATCTTCCTCATTGCTCCTCCTCCTCTCCCAGACGTTGCACTGTAAACACAAGCTGGGTCTAACAAGTGTTCACCAAAGCAGGGTGATGCAAAGCCCATCGCCCACAGCCTGGATTCACTACACAAGAAGGAAAGTGTGATTCAAGCGTGTGTGTGTGTGTGTGTGTGTGTGTGTGTGTGTGTGTGCATGCTCGTATTACAGATGATCTGAGGACATAGATCTGTTAACTCAGTCACATGGTTGGGACATCCTTGTGGGAACAAGTTCCCTTTCAGTAATTGATTATATTTGAAGGTGAATACGTGGCTGGAGGTAAGCGTGAGATCAGGTTTAGGCAGGTCGTAGTTCTGGTTATGCTACGTTTCCAGGAAATGAGTGACACCGGTGTGATTTACTCAGAAGTCATGGAAACAGAACAGAGGTGAGATGACGGTTTGACAGTTTGTTCCTGTAGAGCTTCTGTAAATAGAAATGTCTCTGATACGTAGGATGAGTCATTTTTGATAACAAGTCACTCCACAGACTCCTAAAGTCCTGTTGGCGTCCCCTACAGGCTATAGTGTTCAGTACAGCCTCAGTGTTAACAACCAGCCTTGTGAGGACTCATCTGTTCTGAGAGTCTTGAAGTAGTCGAGCCACAAATGCAAAGTTTGTCCTGAGCGAGGCACTATAAAGATAAAGGCTTCCTCTCTTTGGGCGTTTGCTGACAGTATGTCAATATGTTCAATTTTGATTCTTTTTGTGTCCAAGGTAAACAGTTTGGCCATAAATTGGCATTGAAGTAAAGGTCAGCAGGTGACCAAGCTCCCTGACAGCAGGAATAACCACAGCAGGCTCAATACAAAGTCAGCCGACAGCCACAGAGACATTTCACAAAGTTAGGACTCTTACGACACTCAGAATTACTGGATGCTGCTAAATCACAGCATCTCAGATCAAAGCAGAGCGATGCATCCGGCACACCTTCCTCCATGTTTCATTTACAACCAGAAAGTCAAGTCAGAGCCAAAACTAACAAACAAACAAACAAATAAAGAAAACTATCCAGCCTCATCCATGAGGCCAAAAACGGTAGAATACACTAAACGGTCTGAACACGCTGCTGTGAAATCATTTACCATCATCTCCACTTCATCTGTCTCTGCTTCACTGCACTCGGTGAAACCAGCCTCAGTCCTTGTGAAGCTCTCCCAAGTTCTGTAATCCACCTTCAGCCTTCCCTGTTGCTCGTGCACCTTTCCTTACCACCTTCCCTTCCAGTCAACTTTCCATTAGCATGCTTCGGTGCAGCTCTCTGCCAACAGCCAGTCTGTTCAGCAATGACCTTCTGTGGCTTAACCTCCTTGTAAAGGATGCCAATAATGGTCTTGTGGACAACTTTAGAGTCAGCAGTCTTTCCCATGCTTGTGGCTGTATGCACTGACCTAAACAGAGAGATGCAGCGTATTTAAACTGTTTGAATTCAGCTATAAGCCACAGTCATCTAAATACAACAAGAAAGACTTGAAATATTTCAAGAACTTATCCACGATATTCATTTTGTTTGAGTTGCACCTGTGTGACTTTCACATTCTGAAGGTAAACCAGTGGATGCATGGACTGATGGTATGAGACTGGATGGATGGATGGATGTCTTGGACAGATGGATGATGGATGAATGATGGATGAACAGACAGATAGACGAGTTTGTTGGGAAACATTTTTTAGAGTTATGTTTAAATGAGCCATCTGAATAAATGAACTAAGCCGATGCACTCATTCTGGTCTTTCACTTCCTGCTGACAACATGCATCAGATTTGTTGTCTGCTTCAGTCGTTGCATTTACAGGAGGACTCTTTACTCCAATCCATTTCACACCTTGACTGGTGACTTCTGTTTGAACTTCAGTCTCTTTTATAATGATAAAAACACAAAATCAAAGGTGCTGAAGTCTGGAGAGAGCTACAGCGTCACGCCAATACAATCAGCACAGCAGGTGACTGAACAAGTCATCTGGAGGAGCTGTTGGCTGACCTGAGTTTGGTTCAAATAAACTGTCGAGTTCACAGAAGTGGACTTTAATTAGTGTTTTTAATATTTAAATGTCCAATCTTGTGCTGTCTGTTCTCGTTAGGAGCACTTAGCACCATCAGAGTGGAGACTAATTAAAAAAACAGGAGCTGCAAGTTAGCTGACATGTGGATGTGAGTTCTGCATCTGCTGCCAGGAAGTGGTCTGATGTTAGACCAGTTCGTTGTCAGAAGAACAGGAAAAGCACTGTTTCATTGAGCGTCCTCTCTCGATGCTCTCTGTCTGCAGAGTGGTGACGAAGCCATGAAGCAGGCAGCACACGGCTCATTGAAACAAACTGTATGCAGGCAGACAGGTCAGTCTGTAGCAGTGTGTAGCTGAAGGTTCACTGCTGGATGGATGAAGCCTCTTCAGAAGGTGTTCACAATCTTCTAGAACACTGCATAACTGGTCCAAAAGACCGCCATAAATAGATGGATGTTAACAGCTTTTAAAACAGCTTTTTAGATGCAAACCTCCATAAAAACAAACAATGGAAACGACAGGTTGGTGACATGAACACAATCCAGACTAACGAACAGCTGATCTTATCTCCTGGTGATGGAGCTGCTCTCTGAGGCTTCAGTCCCACCAATGAGAACACGTGGACCTGACATCCTGCCTGAACCTCCTCCCTGAGGAGACAACCTCAGCACATCTGTAACCATCAAGGAAGCAGAAGCTAAAGACTGTTTTTCTGACTCACCACAGCTTCATGAAAAGTCAACTCCTTCATATCACCACTGAGAAAAGAACTCAGAGCACGTCTAAGACGTCCAGCTCTTTCTTTATGCTCACATAAAGTCCAGTCAGTGCGCACTTCCACCAAACAGCACAAGACAGAAACCCGCCCCCACCTTCCCTCCGCGGGTCCGGCTCCGGCTCTCGGTGACGCCGCTCCCCGCCGCCTCCTCACCGGCTGAGTCCTCCTCCTCCTCCCCGTCCTCCAGCTCCCTCACTGCGCTCTCCTCCTCGGTGCGGAGCCGCTTGGCCACACGGTGGTATCCTCCGTCTGCTGCGCGCTCCTCTCTGTCCTCCATCACAGCTTCACTCAGGAGACACGAGGAAGAGATGATGACACCTGCTGGTCCTGATCTCTCTCTCTCTCTCTCTCTCTCTCTCTCTCTCTCTCTCTCTCTCTCTCTCTCTCATCCTTCTGGGTCAGAGATGGGCAGAACAACAGAGGTGTCACTCTGCTGTGATTTCAAGCAGCCCAGAACAGCCTTCTTATTCTGGTACTGGTATCAGTGTGGACCCAGCAGGCTGGTTCTGCTGCAGGTTTTTGTTCTACACCCTACAGAGATGGTGAGGTTTCGTCAGCATCCATGTTTAAACTCCTGCTGGTTTCCGTTATCCATATGACAGCACTATGGTGTCGGTTACCAGGACCAGACTCGGTGTGGCCCGGTAGCTACACAGGGCGCCACATGCAGCTGCAACAGCACCAGGACGTCTTCCTACATCCGGCTGCATGCGTTCACACACATCCACCCTCTACAGTTTCCAACAATGGGGAAACCAAAAGCTGCTCATGCACATGGCTGTAAACACGTTTCTGCTGCTGGGTGTTGACTCAGGTTTGGCTCTTCCACTGCTCACTGAGAGACAGACTCAGCAATCTGCTAAAGTCCTGTCAGAATAAGGCTGTGCAGTCGAGTCTCCGAGGACGAGGAGCGTCTCTGAACCACCTCTCAGGAGACAAGCCCTTCAGGTGGGCTGAGACGGAGAAGCATCTCAGTGGAGAACGGTCCTGATGAGTCCCAGTTAGCGTCAGCAACAGAAGGCTGAGCCTAAACACACCTCAGAGGTCTGACAGAAAGAGTAAAACAGACAGGAGTTGAAAACTATGTCCTGAGCTGCATCAGAATCAGAATCAGTGAGCTCACACACACCAGGAAGGTGATGTGGTGGTGATGAGATGGTCCACAGCAACAACAAGACAAGAATAAGTCATTAAAAATAAAGAACTCTAAAAAAATATGTAAAAGAAAAGTATAAAAGTACTACGCAGGTAAATGAAGTAGTAAACTGAGAAACATCTGCCTTAAGAACAAGTTCTGCTTCTGGAGCAGAACAAACAGTGTCAGCAGAACTATCTGCATTAATCCCACATACAGAGACATTACATACAGTCATGTCTGTGTAGAAGGTGAACAGAACCGGACTGAGCCTTGTTAGACACTTTGCTAGATTCTGATCAACACCTTTCACAGAGCCAGACGCTGCTGGATGTGGGAGGAACTGGAACGTAAATGCATTTATATTGAAATCAATGAGCATTTCTACAGCAGGGTCAACTGTTCTGAATACCTTTGAAAGATCCATGAACAGAGCTGCATTCTTTATTTTCTGTTCACAGCTGTAATGTCTTTTAAAGAAGCTTCTGTAAACTGCGGCTTAATGAGGACAGTGGTGTCTCCAGCTGTTTCCTCTGTATGGAGGTCAGCCTGCCACAGCAGCACCTGCTAGACTCAGCATCAGAACCGGCACCAGGTTTACAGTGTCTCAGGAAACACGGTCACAGACGTAGTTTCAGCTTCACACTGATGAACACATTGTCCGTGGAGCTGGTTTATGCTTCAGCTCAGTGAGTAGAAATCTGACTGATTCCTCCTCGACCACGTCCACGACACACACACGTCACATGATCCACAGCTTTCTGGCAGTCATGCCTTCCAATAAACGCTCTAATCTGATTTTAAATGTAGATCAGACCAATCAGACAATGTTTTCTACACTCACCACTGTTGGACTATCCAGCAGCAGTAACATGTCAGAACGTCGCTGCTGCTGGATCAATGAGATGCTTTATGGAGGAACCACCTGGTCAGCGAGCTGCCAGCTGACGTGTGGCTCAGAGCTGAAACGGAAAGTTTTTGGTGTATTTATGAAGACTGCAGGTGTCTCAGTGGTTAGCACCGTTAGCACCTCACAGCTAGAAGGTCGCCGGTTCACGTCCCGGTGAGGACACCCGGGATCTCCCTGCGTGGAGTCTCCATGTTCTCCCCGTGCAGCGTGGGTTCTCTCCGGGTTCTCCGGCTTCCTCCCACAGTCCAGAAACATGCTGAGGTTAATTGGTGATTGTAAATTGTCCGTAGGTGTGAATGTGAGTGTGCTTGGTTGTCTGTCTCTAAGTGTAGCCCTGTGATAGACTGGTTACCTGTCCAGGTGAACCTGCCTTCACCCTGAGTCAGCTGGGATAGGCTCCGCCCCCTTGTGAGGATTTCGGTGTAGAGATGATGGATGGATGTGTGTTTATAACTGAAGTATTGCAGTCAGCATTGATCACTGTGTTCTCCACCACGACTACCTTCATACAGGCTTTGCTGCTCCAGATGCTCCTACGTCCCTGATTCAGGTCGTCATGACTTCCTGCTCTTCCCACATCTAAGTTCAACGTTCCGCGTTTTGACACAAACACATTGTGTGTAACAGCTGCAGTCGGTGCACATTTGAACCAAGCCTGGTGTAGGATACGATCAAGTCTTGTTATGATTAATGTTATAATAGAGGGGAAACAGCGCCACCTGTCAGATTGTATTCATCTTACCAGGACCACAGGTGCATCTATGAACTTGTGTTTTCTGAAGTGATGCATCCTTTAACAAACAATCTTTGGTTTCAGTCCCACCTCCTGCTTCTCTCTTATCACCTCTAATTCTAGCATTCTGGTCTCATTACTGACGCATGGTCCCTATGTGGAGGTTTTTTCTTTCTTTTTTCTTTTTTAAATGTCTTATTAGTTTTAAGTCAAACCACAGGAGCGACGGTGTGTCATCAGACACCAGCTCCAGCCACTGGTTGTTCATCTAAACAAGAGTCATCTCATTTTTAAGAACTTTAGTACCTTTTCGTTTCTTTTCCAACAGAAGCAACGACTTATAAACAGGAACGATGATGAAAACATAGTGAACCAGATGATGGACTAGAGCTGTGTGCATTGGCCTGGACAAACCTCCAGGTGGCGACATTGCCATGTTTTAGCACTGACATTTTAAACTTTAAGTCAGATAAAGATAAAGATGAACTCTGAGTCTAATCTGTGTTAATTTGCTAAACGTTCAGTGTAATGATGATATCAGATGTGAAATCCCACTGAACAGGTGATTAAAGTGACTTCAAACAGGATGTGTTTAGCTCATGTGGTTCCTGAGATGGTAATAAAAGGTGTAAACATGAGAATAAAGTCACAGAGAACACAAGCATTTACATTTAACAACAAGAACAACTGGTCAGAACAAACATCTAACATCTGCTCTCTGTGCCGTCGTGGCAGACAGAAGGCTCGTGTTGGTCATCTTCCACAAACACGTCAGATCCACTGTGTTCTTCAGTACTGGTCCTGCTCAGCCTGGTACCACAGACTGAGTCCAGATCTAGGATCACCACTCATTCATTCATTGTGGTGTAGAAAGTTCTGCATGTGAGGGGAAGAGAGAGGTCACTGTCTTCTTCTCCACAGGTTTTCCTCACACGTGACACTTTATGGCCCTTATCAGGTTCTGGTGGAGGTGGGAGATGTCCTGCTGTCTCCAGCTGGGCCGTGACTGGTCATTCTGCAGTAAACATACCATCTGCAGATGTTCCATGTAGACGTGAGCTTTGGGTTTGCTGTCTTCTGAATTTTTTATTTATTTTTCTTAAACCAAATTTGCAGCCGTGGGAAAAGCTCTCTGGATTCTCTTTGTGTTGCTTTGGACAGTTCTGCTGCTCTGTCGGCTGCATGGACTCTCTGGTCCGGCAGCTTCTCGTTGTAATCAGCTGCTTACAGCCGTCCTCAGATGTCTTCATCTCCTTCTATTAAAGAAACGGCAAAACTCACAATCAATTAACCAGAAACTGAAAAAAGTAGGAATAAATACAAATGTGTTAAATCATAATTTAGTGAAATTAGATGCTGCTTTTGAATTGTGGTTGAAAAGAATAATTTTTTAAAAAACTGTCCTGGACCTGGACCAATGAGAGG